ACGAAGGAAGAATCGCAAGTGTAGGTCGGATCAGATTGATCACCTGAACCACCCTCTCCGTGAACATGAATCTCTTAGTTCACGCTGAAGCCGCGGAGCACCTGAAAGGGACTGAAGGAAGGGGACATAGTCCTATCACTGCTGAGGCCAGCCTATTGAATTGTATTAATAATAGTATTGATTCAAATTTAACTTTTAGTTGTAATTGTAGTTGTTTTTGTAACACTAATTCTTATAGCATTGTTTGGGAAGGAAGTGCATTCGGAGCATTGTTTCTGATATATGTAATTATTGTGTTGTTAATGTTTGTGGTATTTCTTAAAGCTAAGCAGTGTTATATACGTAGCAAAGAATTTAAAAATAAAATTGTGTTGTATGAATTAAGTGTGTAATTATTGTGAAATCGTGCAATCAGCTAACTACTCCCCCAGCCAGTGCATCAAAACGAATCAGTAAATTGTGTGGGATTTTCTCTATTCCATAACCCACTAGAGACACACTTCAAAGCACTTAAAAATATAGCGCTACAAGCATGGACAGATGTGCAGTGCCCCCACCCCACAGCAGTTTTGTAGCATTCAGTTATGTCTTCCAGCCAAGAAGGCTAAAACGTTGCTTAACCCTGTGACTCTTCCATCACCTCTCCCCATTGCTGCTCCCAGTGGGGGTGGGGACCCTGTCAGTTAATTCAATCATTAGAATCATAGAAAATTAGGGTTGGAAGGGACCTCAGAAGGTCATTCAGTCCAACCCCCTGCTCAAAGCAGGATCATCCTAGCCAAGGCTTTGTCTAGCTGGGTCTTGAAAACCTCTAAGGACAGAGATTTCCCCACCTCTCTGGGTAACCTGTCCCAATGGTTTACTACCCTTCTAATGAGAAAATTCTTCCTAATGTCTAACCTAAGCTTCCCTTGCTGCAACTTGAGACAGTTGCCCCTTGTTCTGTCATCTGCCACCACTGAGAACAGTCTTTTATCCTTTTTTGAACCCCCCTTCAGGTAGTTGAAGGTTACTATTAACTCCTCCCTCATTCTCCTCTTCTGTAGACTAAATAACCCAAGTTCCCTCCGCCTGCCCTCATAAATCATGTGCTCCAGCCCCCGAACCATTTTTGTTGCCCTCTGCTGGACTCTCCAATTTTTCCACATCTTTTCTGTAGTGGGGGTCCCAAAACTGAACATAGTACTCTAGACGTGGGCCTTACCAGTGCTGAATAGAGAGGAATAATCACTTCCCTTGATCTACTGGCAACACACCTACCAATGCAGCCCAGTATGCTGTTAGCCTTCTTGGCAACAAGGGCACACAATGGGCCCATTCAGCTTCTTGTCCACTGTAACCCTAAAGTAATTTTCTGCAGAGCTGCTGCCCAGCCAGTCGGGCCCCAGCCTGTACTGGTATATGGCATTGTTCTGTCCTAAGTGCAGAACTTTGCCCTTGTCCTTGTTGACCCTCATGTCCTTTTTGGCCCAATCCTTCAATTTGTGTAGATCATTCTGAATCCTAGCCCTACCCTCCAGCGTATCTACTCCCCTCAGGTTGGTGTCATCTGCAAACTTGCTGAGGGTGCACTCTATGCCATCTTCCAGGTCATTGGTGAAGACATTGAACAAAACCAGTCCCAGGACTGACCCCTGGGGCACTCCGCTTGATGCCGGCTGCCAACTAGACATTGAGCCATTGATTACTACTCTCTGAGCCTGATGCTCCAGTCAGTTTTCTGTCTACCTTAAAGTCCATTCATCCAGCCCATACTTCCTTAGCTTGCCTGCAAGAATGGTGTGGGAAATCGAATTAAAAGCCTTGCTAAAATCGAGGTATACCACATCCAATCGTCTCCCCGCATGCACAGAGCGGTCGTCATATCAGAAGAAAATCAGGTTGGTTAGGCATGACTTGCCTGTGATGAATACATGCTGATTGTTCCTAATCACCTTCTCCTCCCAGTGCTTAGAAATGGATTCCTTGAGGATCTGCTCTATGATTTTTTTCAGGGACTGAGGCAGTGGCGATGTGTAGGGGGTGCATGTGCACCCCTGAGAGTGCTGGTGCATGCCCTGACTGCCTGCATTCACTGCTTAGGTGATGGGCAGGGGGCAGGCAAGAGCACCAATGCCCCCCCTGCAAGCGCCGGACGGGGAGTGGAGTGCCGTTGTGCTCCCAGAAGCTGCTGCAGCCACTTCTGGAAGCAGCGATCGGGCACCTGACGATCAACCACGGAGGACACCTCCCTCCCCCCCCCGGACTAAGGCAGCACCAGTCGCCCATGGACTGAGGTAAGACTGGCTGGTCTGAAGTTCCCTGGATTCTTCTTTTTCCCCCGTGTTAAATATGGGCAGCATGCCCAGTTCCAAGCAGCCGGGACCTCTCCTGATTGCCATGAGTTTTCAAAGATGATGGCCAATGGCTCTGCAATCGCATCAGCCAACTCCCTCAGCACACTGGTACATCCCATCCAGCCCCATGGACGTCCAACTTTTCTAAGTAGCCTCTAACCTGTTCTTTCATCACTGAGGACTGCTCATCTCCTCCCCAAACTGCTGCCCAATGTAGTAGTCTGGGAGCTGACCTTGCCTGTGACAACAGAGGCAAAAAAGGCATTGAGCACTTCAGCCTTTTCTGCATCCTCTGTCACAAGGTTGCCCCCCCCATATTATATAAGGAACCCACACTTTCCCCGATTCTCCTCTTGCTACTGACGTGCTTGTAGAAACTTTTCTTGTTACCCTTCACATCCCTTGCTAGCTGCAACTCATGCCCACTCCTCTATTGCCATCACAAAGGCAAGCAGGTAGCAAGGACCAGAGCTGCCTCCCAGTACTAGGAAGGGTGAGCAGGCAAATTGTCAGTAACCAAAGCAGGGAAGTGGGGGACCCAGCAGGCTGTCAGTCATCAATAGGCAGTGAGGGAGGGAAGGACAGCAGATCAGAGCACTATGGTACATTGAACAGACATTGTGTATAGCACTACAAAATGTAGAAGAGGTCCTGTTTCATTTGAGAATACATTTGTAGTGCTACAAAAACAACATCTGTTCATACCCTAAGACTTCCTTCCCCTTTCCCCTCACCCCATCCACTTCAATGCAGCCACTGAAAGACGAGGTAAACTGGGCTTTATAGTATATTTGGATGATCACTGAATTTAGGCACTGGGAAAGGATAAAACAGTTTCAGTTGAGAACAGAATTAGCATGAGATCATCTCTCCATCTCATTTGCAGAAACAACTGCTTTCCTTCAAAGCTTTTATAGTGATACCGTTCAAAACCAGCACCTTGATTTGTACTTGGGAATTCAGCGCGGACCACAAAACACAGGGAGTGCTACTTCCCAGAAGAGAACGGTGTGCCGCATTCTGCATCAGCAGGTCAATTTCCAAATGGTTTTCAGGGCAACCTCGAAAGAGAGTCCATTATTAATCCAAGTTGGAAGTGAATAGAGAATAACTGTCAAAGTCATTGCATGAAGGAAAAGGTTACGGTCAGTCGGGAAAAGAATGAAAAAATGCACCCTTGGTCACTGGGGCTACCTGCACATCTAAGAGCAGGCCAGGATTCAAATAGTGTTCTTGATTTACAAACTTGTATTTTGAAGGGTGGATTTGTTCATTCAACTAAAGTAGCTGATAGGAATTCCTCTGCTTATTCTCCTTCCTTGCCAACCACCCCTTCCCCTGCAATATTACATCCTTTTAAGGTATGCTGAGTCTTTGCTAGCTGCCTACATATAGGCCTCTACCTCTACTGGGAAAAAGAATGAAGCAGATGTTCAACTGAGTATTGCCCATGCCTTGAAACCAACTCAGAAGGCAATGTCTTGCTATTCTGTTCTTTACCTACCGCAGACCAGGGGAGAACTCTAGGGATCCTGGGTGAGGGAGTTCTAAGCACTGATGAAAAATCACCCAGTGCTGCCTCTTGGGAACAGAAAATGGGAACCAATCAATCTGACTGTTCTATAGCAGCAACAGAATCATAAGTTTTTCAGATATCCAAGATACAATGATGCAAAAATACAGTATCACACAAGATTTGGACCCTAAATCTCATCTAGTGCTACTGCTCAGCAGTTTCTTGCCTATGATTAAGAGCAGTTTGTATTCTCTGGTCTATTGAAGGTGGAGCAATGGTGGTTGAGGGAATCTGAGGACTTTGGATAGTGCCAGATTCGCTTTGTAAGATGATGCCGGGATGCTGGCATAAAGGCAGGAGATTACCAACAGGGAGATATTTTCCAAATCAGGAGCAACATTCTTCAGCCAAGACTTTGAAAACTTTGGTTTTTAAAAGATTCTGTCCCTTGCCACTGCTTTAAGGAGTTCTTGGTAAATACCAGTTCTGATGTACATGATCTGCCTTAGATCTGGCTGAAACATCTTCAACACCCTGAGAGAGGTAAAAATCAAAGCATGTTTCCTTTGTTGCATTTAAAAAAAAAAATATTAACATAGTGTTACAGGGCAATGCCCCCTTCATCCCCCTGCCATCCCTTGTATTTTGTCTTTTTGTTTGGGAATTTTGCCTAGGAGCTATATACAGCTTATGCACTCCCAAGTCTACTTCCAAGCTGAGAACAGGATTTTGAGGTAGGGCCTATAGTCACAGCTAGTACCAGAGAACCAAAGGCGGCGGGATGAAACGAACAAGGACTTGTAGTTCTTTAACTCAGAATTTCCTGGTCCTGTTGGGTTTAAGTCAATCAGCTGCTTATGGTTCCTGTAACAGTGCACAGGAATTGTTTTTGTATTTATTTCTAATGGCATTCTGTTTTTAATGTAGAGTTAAAGACGGAGAAGATATTCAGACAGTAGGCCTTAAGGATTAAAAGAAGCTGGCTTGGCTTTGTTTTGCAAATCTTCACCATGGCAGGAGGAAGAAAAAAGAACAAGAGACTTGTCTAATTGAGCAAAGGAATCCCAGGGTGACCCTATAGAGAACCTATTGCTTTTTTCCTTTCCTTTCTTTGCCTTTGTTTTCATTGCAGAGGCTTGGGGGCAAAGGAAAAAAAACCAGAGTGGAGCGGGTAGGATATGAGGAGGAAAACTAATATGATTAAGGCTGGGTTTGGACACTGATGGCAAGTTCCTGTAAGTGCTGAGCATTAGTAGTAACAGCTGTTGCACTTCTCATTAGAGGAGAAGTTGAAGAACTTTTCTTAAAGGATGTTTCTTTGGCAGGCTGAGGGGGAAACAATCGCAGTGAGCCTGAAGGAATACATGTCCCAAGGTAAGTGAGTGGCAATGCCAGGGAGCAGAATTGCAAATGGTGTTGGGGTACTAAGTCCTCCCTCTGATAGTGTTAGGACAGTGATTTTTAACCTGTGGTCCGCAGACACCTGGGGGTCTGCAGACTAAGGGATCCCCAAAAAATGACTTTGATCAATCAAAAGTGTGTGACTACCCACACTTAAAATTCAAAGGGGTCTGCACCTCCACTGGAAATTTTTGAGGGGTCCACAAATGAAAAAAAAGGTTGAAAACTGCTGCATTAGGAGGTTGTAAAAAGGCACAGATAGCTGAGGAAAAAATGGATGGGGGTGGTGAGGAGAAGAGGGGTACACTCAGGTGAAATGGGAATGGAAAATTGCTGTTCAGAAGTCTTTTGACAAGCCTCGGGAGATCCGGGATGATTTAGGAGAATCCAGTTGTGTGGCACACACCCACTTCTGTTTAGGGTTGGAAGATAAAGGGGGATCCCCTGTGTTGCTAGAAGCTCCTTTTGGTGCACAAATGATTGGAGCGATGGGGTGTTATAGAAGGTTAATCTCTGCTCATCTGCTGCATGCTTGAGTCTGGGAGCAAACCGTGTCACGCAGAGTGGAAGTTTTTCAGTCTCTTGGAAAATGCAGATCTGATGAGAATGGATTAATAAGCTAGACTTCCCTTGGTTCCCCCCTGATTTATTTACACTTATTTACTGATAAAGAGCATAAGGAAACCTAAGCTGCTATAATTTGTGTGTTGAAAAGGCTAAGAGGCATGCATTAAACTAGAGGGAGCCTCCTTTAATATGCTTGTTCATTCTTGGCCTTGATAAATACTTGTGTACGCTTTCTCTATCATCACTTTCAAATATAAATGATAAGAAACAGGAATAATTACATTTTGTCTCTGAGGAACCTAGCCAATGAGACAGAGAGAGAGGAGCCTAGGTGTTTGGGGTTAACAGCTTTGTAGAACATGTTTGCTTAGCTTAATGTTAGACTTTAAGGAAGAACTGATACTAGCAAAATAGGTATGTATTTAGGCTTCAGATGTTGGTTTCAAATACCATGCCTCTTACGTTTCACAGTCGACAAATGCAGTTTTAATAAAAGATGACAATCGGAAAAATATTTTCTGAACCTGGTTAGCAGAGATGTTTTGGATTTGGCTGCAGCCTGTGCCTCCAGGGCCTTGAAGAACTGCTGTGATTATTCTGAGGGCTGCAAATGTTCTCTCCCCTGCTCGCTCCCGTGCGGCAGCGTGCCCACCTATAGACTGTCCCCACTTAGCAGGGCAGCATCAGCTGCTATATGGAAACTTTCAGGGGGCAGATATGACAGTTTCCATGGAGCAGTTCTACTGTATTCTGTATACCAGGTCTGTCCTAACTGGTGGCTTGCAGGTTGCATGCAGCCCATGAGGGTTTAATCTGGGGTCCCCTGGCTACCTTTCCCCCCCCACAGCCCTCCTTATTGCTCTGACTGCTACAGAAGCTAGGTCTTCAGGCTTCTCCCTTCTCTCTCCAGGGGCTGGGCCAGGGCAGGGCAGCTGGGTGTAGCCCAGCCTGCAGTGCTAGGGGAGTGCTAAGGAGGTGATGGGGTTGGGGACCTGCCTGCCTGTGCAGTGCAATGATGGGGGGGGCTGCCAGCCTACACACAGGGGGAGAGGATCCATCCACCTGCGTTGTTCCAGGGGAGCTTGCAGCCAAGGAAATGCCCTGGGTGGGGTGAGGGGAGGGAATGGTGGCCCTTTCTGGTCACAAGGGTCACTGGTCCTTGCTGGTCACTCCCGTGACTAAGTTTGAGAGCCCTGCCTTAGACTATATGGGATAAGGATTTTCCTCTTCCCCATATGTAATGTACTGCCCAATGACAGAGGCAGGGCAATGGTTGTTGGCTTTGGCATGCTGTATGGCTTTGTAAGCACCCGCACAACCTTGCCACTTACACTAATGGCAAATGGGATACTTCAGAGGAGTGACTTCCCAGCTGCTTCACTCTCAGGAAAGCATATGAAAGAAGTCCTTTGGGGAGCCTTTTTACCAGCCTCCGCTGTTTACTTCTCAATGTGTGTCTTTTTGTGTGGTATCATAAAGGGCTTCGTGGGCCACGGAGAATGTGGGCTTTTCTTCCTCCCTTTCACTTGGGAGTTGTTAGGAAATACTACTCTAGATGTAATTTAAGGTGGCATGTCTGCTGATTGTATCTACCTAGTATTGCTTTGAACTTAACCTAGAATATAATGCCTGATGTTTTAATAACACAAGATGGAAGATGGAATGAGCGTCCAGACAGCTCTCGTTGGATGGGCATGCACAACCTTGTGCTTGGTTTCATACACTGCTGCCTTCTCCCACGGTGCAAGCCTTTCTGCCTGTGCTGACATGACGCCCAAACATATCAGAGCGCAGCTTCAGAACCCCAGGAATAACTATATCACCATCCACACCAACATGTCCTCCTACTTTCCAGGTGATAAGGTACCAGGTAAGGGACAACCATGGACTTTATAGAAGGTTTGTGAAAAGACACCAGGGTGCTCACAGATCCACCCTGTTGCGGCTTGCAGCCACAGATTCAAGTCGGTGCTGTCCTGATCCTGAATTCTCTGCACCTAGCACAAAATCTTTCTGGACGGCACTCTTGACTCATAAGGCAATTATTTAAGAAGAAACATTCATACGCATAAAAAATACATAATTGCTAATCTCAGGTATGCCATTCATCCTTCTGAGCAATGAGAAGAGGAGTAACTCGCTCATGGCATTGCTATGAGTGAATTATACCTTTTTCCGCTCAAAGAATAAACATAAACACGGAAAGCAACCTTTCCGTATGATATGTATCTAAAATATGTGCATCTCCATGCTCTCTCAGGTCGACAGGATCACATTTGGCTCTCCGTTACATTAAATACATTTGTTAAGACTTAACTCAAGCTTTTCAGTGTGTTACAGATAGTGGGCCTGGGTGTACAAGCCCAATGAACACAGTTGGGCCTGTGGACCAGAAGACCTGTAGGAACAGAATGGAACTACCATATTTACTCATACACCACACACACCTTGTTCTCAAAATGAGTCCTTCAGAGTTGGGGTGTGTATTTTAAACAGGGAAGCTGATTTTTCTGCCTGGAATAAAAGCATGGAAATGCTGTAACAAGGCTTCTGCTTTTCTTCCTGTCCCCAACCCCAAGCTGGCAATGTAGAGGGAGGGGTGGAGTGCAGTCTTCATAGTTGCATAGTAGGTAGGGTCAGAAGTGACCTGAGCAGATCATCAAGTCCGACCCCCTGCCATGGCAGGAAAGAGCACTGGGGTCAAACGACCCTGGCAAGGTGTTCATCTAACCTCCTCTTAAAGACCCCCAGGGTAGGAACCAGCACCACTTCTCTTGGAAGTTGGTTCCAGATCCTAGCCGCCCTGACTGTGAAGTAGTGCCTCCTGATGTCTAATCTGAATCTACCCTCTGCCAGCTTGTGACCGTTATTTCTTGTCACTCCTGGTAGTGCTTGGGGGAACAGGGACTCCTCCAATGCCTGCTGGTCCCCTTTGACTAGTTTGTAAATGGTCACTAGATCCCCCCTCAGCCTTCTCTTGTGGAGGCTGAACAGGTTCAGGTCCTGTAGCCTCTCCTCGTTGGGTCTGCCCTGCTGCCCCCTGGATCATGCGAGTGACCCTCCTCTGGACCCTCTCAATTCTGTCCACATCTCTCCTGAAGTGCAGCGCCCAGAACTGGATGCAGTACTCCAGCTGCAGCCTGAGCAGTGCCACATAGAGGGGGAGGATCACCTCCTTGGACCTGCTCAAGATGTATCTGTGGATGCATGACAAAGTGTGTTTGGCCTTCCTGACCGCGTTCCCACACTGCTGGCCCATGTTCATTTTGGCATCAATAATGACTCCAAGATCCTTTTCTGCCTCTGCACTGACCAGAAGGGAGTTCCCCAGCCTGTAGGTATGCTGCTGGTTCTTCCCCCCCAGGTGCAGCACCTTGCAGTTGTCAGTGTTGAAACCCATCCTGTTCTCATCCGCCCATCCCTGTAACCTGTCCAGGTTTGATTGCAGCCTATTCCTCCCTTCTAGCGTGCCCACATCCCCCCACATCTTAGTGTCATCAGCAAATTTGAACAGGGTGCTTTTAACCCCTTCATCCAAGTCGCTGATGAAGATGTTGAACAGCGTGGGTCCGAGGGCCAAGCCCTGGGGGACTCCACTGCCCACATCCCTCCAGGTCGAAAATGACTCATCCACCACCACTCTCTGGGTGCGGCCTTCCAGCCAGTTAGTGACCCAATTGACTGTGTAGGTGTTGACGCCACAGTCCCCTAGTTTTTTAATGAGAATGGGGTGACAGACAGTGTCGAAGGCCTTCCTGAAGTCCAGAAAGACTATGTCCACTGCTACCCCTGCGTCTAAGGACTTTGTGACCTGGTTGTAGAAGGCCACCAGGTTGGTCTGACAGTGTTGGTTGCTCCTAAGCATAATCTCCCCTGCTGGCCCCTCATGGACATGCGCCAGGATAACTCTCAAAAAAGCTTACCCAGGATTGAGATAAGACTAATGGGCCTATAGTTCCCTGGGTCCTCCTTCTCCCTTTGTTGAAAATTGGAACCGCATTGGCCCTTTTCCAGTCCTCTGGCACCACACCAGAACACCACGAATGCTCGTAAAGCCGTGCCAGGGGCCCCGCAATGACCTCTGCTAATTCCCTCAGCACTCTGGGGTGGAGATCATCAGGACCTGCTGATTTAAATACATCCAGTCCCTCCAGAAGTTCCCTGACTAGATCCTCACTGACCCTCGGCCTGGCTGCACCTCCCCCGGGGCCTGAGGGGGTCCCGGCAGACAGGCTGATCTGGTACCTGCTCAGGAAAATGGAGGCAAAGAAATTGTTAAATAGGTTAGCCTTGTCGTCTGGTGCAACAACCAGATTTCCTAGCATGTCTTGCAGTGGCCCCATTTTACCCGGTACCTTCTTTTTGCCCCCTATGTATTTAAAAAAGGATGTCTTGTTGCCCTTGATCCGGGTAGCTAGTCCCAGTTCCATCTCCGCCTTGGCCTTCCTGACCACCCCACTGCAACCCCAAGCAACCGAGGTATAGTCCTCCCTGGTGATGGTCCCTCCCTTCCATTGGGTGTACGCCTCCCTTTTAGCTAGGAGCTGTTCCCGTACGCTTTTGGTGAGCCACGGGGACTTTTGCGCCCTTTTGCCCCCTTTGATCCTTGTTGGGATTACCTCCCTTTGGGCATGGGTCTTCAGTAGCAGCTACAGTTTTAACCCTTTCACAGCCACTGCAGAAATGGCAGGAACTATTAGCTGAGCAGCCAAGAGCTGTTGCCAATTAGGCAGCAACTGAGAGAAGATGAAAATTGTAGCTTTTGCCTGAGCAGGGAAGGATTAGTGAGTGAGCTGAGGATTAGGCTCTGTCCCTGCTCCATGTGGCCATACCTTTAGAGAAAAAATTCTTCATTTTGCCTTCCCGAAACAAGATGCACATCTTATTTGGGGGCATGTGGTATGTGAGAGACAACTGTATTTAAAAATGCAGTTAAGGAATAACCTGACCAATTAGCATCCTCCACCCTGCTCACCCACGTATTCATTCACATTTAAAGTGATAGCTCTTAAACAGCACATGCTCTTTTGCGGATAGCCGTGGAGTATAAGGATGTATTTTGTTGATAACCCTATTCTTTCTAGTATAAACAGATTAGCTGTTTGTCATAAAAATGACATGAGCATTTTCATGTAACTTATTTTTTTTTTAAAAGATCAAAACCAAAGACTCTTGTATTTTGAATGCTCAGGACAGAAATATGAAAGCAAAATGGCCGGGTAGTTTCCACAGGGGTTCACCAATGCTGCAGCCACTAACTCTTTGGCAACTAAAGTGCAAGTGGATTCCTTGATAAACTGCTCTTTATACCACATCTTGTTTTGCAGTGACAGTGAGGAGCACTCGAGATTTCATGGGCTTTTTGCTCCAAGCTCGCAGGGTGTCTAATGATCAAATTGCTGGCACTTTTGTTGTAATTCCTCCTGGTTCCAAACTGCTGATGTGTTTTGAAGATGGCGATACTGTTACCCACTCTGACAAGTCACTGAAGAGAAACTTGTCCTTTGTGTGGAAGGCACCAGACCACCCCATTGGAGACATCAAATTTTTGTAAGAATATATGGTTATTACTTAGAATTCAGACTTTATGAAGGAAGTCCACCAACGTTGGGGTTGTTTTGATTGGTTTCTTTTTTTTTTCTCCACCAAGTTCACTGTGCTTTGATATTTCTTTAGCTCAGAGCAGTGAAATGTTCACCAAACAATGGGGTAGTTCTTCAGCTGGGGGAAGTCAATGAAACTTTGATAACTTTACCCCTGGTGAGAATCTGTGTCCTTGAACTGACCTAGTCTGCTGTCTCCTACAAATATACTAATTGGCAGATGAGAAGGACAATCCAAACACGTCAGAAATTGATTAATATATTCATCAGTTATAAGGCCAGAGACACGACCATTGTGATCACCTAGCTCAGGGGTGGGCAAAATGTGGCCCGCGGGCCGGATGCGGCCTGCCAGGCCATTCTATCCAGCCCACGGGGCCCCTAAAACATTTAGAAAATTAATATTTATCTGCCCCTGGCTGCCTGTCATGCGGCCCTCAATGGTTTGCCCAAACTCAGTAAGTGGCCCTCCGCCCGAAATAATTGCCCACCCCTGACCTAGCTTGACTCATAACACATAGTTCATAGTATACACAGGACAGGATAACCTTATCTACAGTTTTAGTGATTTTTATTTAGTATCCCTAAAAAGTTAAATGTAAAGAGAATTGGCCACAAACATGTTTTACATCCTGTCGTATGAGGCAGAAACTTGGAATTTCAATTCTGTGTAATGTTCCCAAATTTGGACAAAATTTTTGGTCTGACTGAGAGCAAAAATAAGAATTGTTTCAATTTCCTGTGGAAGGGAAAGCCTGACTTTTTAAATAATAAGTCTTATTAATTAATTAATTAACAATACTAATAATTATAAATGAATATTAATAAATATGTATTATTTAAAAATACATCTAAATAATAATACTAACGACGGCGATGATAGTAGTATGACTTTTCCAAAAGAAACTGAAGGCAGTCTCCTAGCTCCGTGGTTTCTGGGAGCAGCTGCAGAGCTCCTGGGTGTCAGGGACAGCCTAGGGAGCTTCTGGGAATTTGAGCCCTGTTTGCAGGTTGACAAAGTTTCTTGTATTTCTGATACAGGTGTCAGTTTAACAACATATTATTCCCTCATGCTTTCTTTTTTTTTTTTTTTTTTTTTTTGCACAATTACATTTGTATAAGTGAAACTGCAAAAACCCACAACCCCAAATTCCAACTCGGGGAGCCCTGCTTACCTGCCATGTGTCATCATCAGTGCTGGATTATTTTGGTCCACAACATCCATATCTACACACTGGTATCCAAATGGTATCCATAAGTACATACTGGTAGTGCTAGTAAGTTGCTACCTTGTTTTTGGCTCACAGCCACTTGCTGATAGCAGAGGGATGTAGACAGACTGGATTTCTGGGCTCCTATCTGCCCAACCTCACACTGGTCTTGTCCTTGCCTCACACTATCCACCCACCTTTTTACTCTCTTTCTAGCCTCCACCAAATCTCTGGATTGTGCTTTTCTCTCTCTAGTCCTATCTCCACCTGCCTAACTTCTGCCCCTCACCTCTTCTTTCTTTGGCTTTTGATCCCTTCCTTCCATCAAACTCCTCAGCCTTCTCCTTCTCCTCCCTCTGCTCCTTATTCTCCTCAACACTATCTTCTGTCTCTACTGTGCATGTGCAAAATGAGATTTTTGTCCAAGTCTTTAACTTGATTAAATTTGGAAGGATTTTAAGGAGTATTACAAAAGACATGTCACTGTCATTTGTACAACTCCTCTTCTACAATAAATTTCAAGTCTCTCCCCCACAGCATGAAGGAAACTGAGCTGTTAAAATTTGGCTATAAGAATTGTTTTGGGAACATGGGGAAAACAACATAATTTGCCTTCTTCTCATTCTCAGAAGCAGCTGAACTGAGCAAGCTGAAAGTCTCTCAAAATGCAGCAGACATTCAAAGTAGAAAATTTTAGTTTGAAGGCTTGAACTTCATAGTAAAGTTGCAAGCAACTGAAAAAAAAGCAGTTCATATAATGCAGGGGTGGACAAAATGCGGCCCAGGGGCCAGATGCGGGCCCGCCAGGCCATTCTATCCAGCTCGCAGGGCCCCCCCCAAAATTAAGAAAATTAATATTTATCTGCCCCTGGCTGCCTGTCACATGGCCCTCGATGGCTTGCCAAAACTCAGTAAACGGCCCTCCACCTAAAATAATTGCCTGCCCCTGATATAATGGGAACAGTTAGACAAACCTGTCTCTATGAGTGTAAACAGATATTGCATTTTCCTGGGGAAAGGCCTTTTGTCCTGAGATCCTATATGAGTGTTAACACTTCCCGCTCCTCCTGCCCCTTCCTCCCCGTGATGCTTTGTACATCTGTAAATGAATCCTGGGTTATTCAACTTAATTATGAGCCATTCCGGGGCAAACCTGCCAGGCTATGTTCTCTCACTGGCCACCCACTGGCAGGGGGCAGCAATGGAGCTTGGAAGGGTTGCATGTGTCCTCTCCTGTTTTGATTTGGGTTAAAACATAACACAATCAGGACTGCCACAAATGAGTCTGTTTACTGCCTGTGTGGCACAATCTGCCCTGCCCCACTGCTAATCCTCTTAGAAAAGTTGTATTTATTTGTCTTTAGTTGCTACCCTGTCCATGGAGGAGAGGAGAAGAATTAGTAACATTTTGCACTGATGGTGCCCCTCATGCCCCTGCTTTACATGTGGAAAGCTAAAGAGTGTTTAGATATTATGCCTGGTAGTCATGCATGAGGATTGTTCCTGGAGTTTTTAAGAACAGGTTAGACAAACCAGGGTGATTTAGATCCTCGAGCAGGGAGTTGAAGTAGACGACCTCCTGAGGTTACTTCCAGTCCTACTTTCCCATGATCTACGTTTCAAATAGAAAGTCATTTTTCAAAAAAAAGTTTCCCCACATTTTCCCCCACCCTAATGATAAACCTCTCTACACACTGATGTCTTTCTTATACTTTCTAGTGCATTTTTGCATTCAATATAAAAAGTGTCAGGGGCTAATCCTTTAACTTTTTGGCTGAATTTGATTTTTTTTTACATGAAAACAAATCCTTTAGATTTTAGCTACATGTTGCAATATTTTATTAATGGTAGTGAGTGACTAAATTCTTGCATAACAACCTGTGTTGATTTGTTTTCAGTTTGTCCGTAGTCCAGTCATATTTTGTTTACTGGGCAAGGATTGAATCTGCTATTATTCGTCACCAAATACAAAATCAAACAACCTCTAATAGTAGGAAGGAAGCCAGTATTATAACACCAACCCCGCTGCAGAAACCTACTGATCCACAAATAGCAGATACAGAAGATAAAGGTATGCATTTCTTTGCAGATAGTTTTTCTAGTAGAATATTTTTAGAGCGGATTCCCTCTTTCCTCTAACTCATGTGATATAAATTAACAACAATATTCTATAGAAATTCTTGTTGTTGGTCGGGTCTGATCCTATAAGAAGCCCCATGAAGAGAGGGCATTTAGAACCAGGCATGGCACAGGCCTTCAGCTTGAATGAGAGTACTGAAAACTGATATGCAGTTTAAGCAGTGTTGTCAACTCCCCACTCTTTGAAAAGTTAGGTTAAAAGGCAGGGACGGGCAATTATTTGGGACAGTGGGCCACAAAGGGAGTTCTGATGAGCTGTTGCAGGCTGGGTCAGCATCCTTCCTCCCCTTCATGCAACAACTCGCCAAAACTCCCTATGTGGGATGGGGCCGTGGGCTGGTGGGGAGTGGTGTTCAGGAGTGGAGTGAGCAGGAAAGGCCAGGATCACAGGGCAGTGACTGCACTGGGCCAGGGCCCAGGGCAAAGCTGCAATCTGCTGCCTGCATGTCCCTGTGACAGGTATGGGTTCTGTGGGCAGGGGAGTGCAGGGAGCAGATCGCTGGTGTGCCCTGGGCCCCAACCTATGCTGTCATCATCCCAAGATCACAGCATAGGTGTGTGGGGTGGGGAGAAGCATGTGTGTGGGGAGGTGGGGGAGGCTGCCTGGGCACTAGGTCCTGGGAGCTGACTGCAGGTGAGGCAGGGCAGGGGCATGTGCAGCAGAGATCACCCAGGCAGTGTAGTGCACAGCTACCCCCATGGTGCTCTGCATGGGGCTGAGCCCTGCCTGCTCCCACCCAAGGCAGCCCATGCTGTACTCCCACCCGTGCTTGCCAGTCTGGCCCTGGCTAGCATGCACAGCTTACTGGTAGGACTGGTCCCTTTGCAGCTGCAGCCGCCTGGGTACTACTCAGCCCCCTTGCCTCCAGTGGCTCCTCCTGTTCCTGCCCCAGTGTACAGGGCTCCAGCTCTGACTCCGGCTCCAGCTCCCAGCTGCCTTCCACCCACTCGGCTACCTGCAGGTGGCTACTCATCATGCCAGGTGGGCAGAGTAGGTGGAAGGCATCTAGGGGCTGGAGCTGGAGCCCCACACACTGGGGCAGGAGCTGCCCAGCTGCAGCTTCCTCCCCACCCAGAGCAGTGCAGCAGGGGCAGGAGTGGGAGGAGGAGCCGCCATTGGAGATGAGGGGAGCTGAGCACCACCTAGGCAGCTGCAGCTGCACTGGGAGCAGCCCTGCCAGAAGCTCTGCACGTGGGCTGGGGCCAGGGCCTGTAGGTGCGGGCAGGAGTGCAGCGCTGGCTGCCCTGGGTGGGCTCAGCCCCACGCAGAGCATCGCTGGGGCAGCTGCAATCAGTTGCTGGGCTGGATCCAGCCCACCAGCAGTGTTTTGCCCACCTCTGCTATAAGGTGACACCCTGTCCTGCCTCTTGGCTAACTTCATAGATTTCATAGACGTTGGGGCTGGAAGGGACCTCAGAAGATCATCGGGTCCAGCCCCCTGCCCCGGGGCAGGAAGTCAGCAGGGATCACAGGATCCCAGCAAGATAACATCCAAATGTCTCTTGAAGGCATTCAAAGTAGGTGCTTGAACCACCTCCGGTGGCAGTCTATTCCAAACCTTGGGGGCTTGGACAGTAAAGAAATTCTTCCTTATGTCCAGCCTGAAACAGTCTTGGAGGAGTTTGTGACCGCTCAACCTTGTCATCCCTTGGGGCGCTCTGGTGAACAGGAGTTCCTCCAGAACTTGTCACCATGTAATCACTGGCTTTCTCTATCCAGTGTTTTGCCTAAAGCCCCAGTTCCTGAAGGGAAGTAATTTCAGTTAGCAATGCTATTTCATTAAAAGGATGTGTCTGGGTTTTTCTGTGCAACTGTGTATTTTCTCTCAGTCTGAAGTAAGCAGAGCTTTTGGATGAAAATATATAAAGAGGTGGAACAGGGACCCATTTACCTTTTGCTTCCTCAGTCTCAGGTCAGTGAAGTGAAGAATGATGAACTTGGATTGCATTTTAAATTAAGCATTTAAAAAAAATATTTGCCATAGAACCATGATTGGATTTTCTTTCCTGAATATATAAATTAATACAGCCCCTGCCTTCCCATAATTAATTCTCCAGCTTCTATGGATTACCTTGATTTCTATTTTAGATAAGTGTTATACAAATAAAATGTAATACTGTTTTTCTGCTCATTTAAAAAAAAAGGATTTTACAAATCAGGGTGGAAAAAAACAACAGGTAGAAACACACTTTTTTCCTGCTTTGTTTTGTGTTTTATAAGGTTCCTCTTCTCTCCAGGCTGTCACCAGTTTTACCCTGTATGCAAAATTTGTGCCTGGCAGAGTGACTAGGATGGCAGTGACAAAAATACTGGAGACTGTTTTTGGAGATGAACAAGATGCAGAACTTCTTGGTAATGACAGACAACTGTCCGAGCCTCCTATGGAGTCAGCTGCCTTGAGTGTCAGCCACAGCCACGGAGGAAGACAAGGCAACAGAAGCAACACTTTCGAGGTTCAGGGACTGGAACCATCACTTGAGCTGCAAGAGCTAGACATGGCAAATGCCCTGAGAAGTTTCATTTTACAGGATTATACCTCCAGCCACATCACACATGATGGGTACTGTGTGAATATTGGCTATAATATATTCAATGTGGGTACAATTACTTTTCAAAAGGTTATGGAAGGAATAAGTTAGTACCAATTTCTCTATGAAATAAGCAGTGTCTTTGAGAGCTGTGCCTGCCTGGTAGGCACTTGGATCTTGGGATTTGGAAAATGATTCAAATCCTTCTAGGGTTGTGTGTGATGTAAAGTGACAATAGGCCATTATTTAACTACAACTCAGAAAGAGGTACACAGACACCAGGGCTGTAAGTATAACCCAAATACTTAGAGTATTTAGATAAACATGAGTGGAAGTATAATGACATAGATCAGCTAAATTTCACAATTTGTTTATTTTCATCAGTTTTTAGATGAAAGTATCTAAAGAAATTATGTTTGGCAGGTATGTTCTTTCATCGCTGGGGAGAAGGGAAAAGAGAATTAACTGATCACAAAATGATGGCTTTTGGAGGCCTACTCTTATTTAAACATGTTTTACAGCATTGGGCACAGTTCGCATGCATGCAGCCTTTGTGTGTTGGGATGTGTGTGCAGGCACCTTTCAAAATATATGGCATCACATGTCCTCCATTACCTTATGTGTACTGGATGGAAGTACACTTGCTTGTGAGCTTGTTCTTTCTGTGGGACTCACTCAGCAACATAAGCATGGGTGCCAGCATGCTATTCTAGTGTCCCATATTATAGACTGTGATTTGCACAGATAGATAAAGTATTAAATTTCATTTTTCAATATTTTAGAACACAAAGCATCTCAAGTACTGCTACAGCACAGCCGTGTTTGACATGTGAGGAAGATGTACAGGTAAGAATTATGTGGGGACTTTTTCCCCTATAAAAATAGGAAATTGTTGGGAGCAGGTGAAAGTTTAGCAGAACATGCCAATATCTTTCTTTCCCATTGCAGCAGTATATGTTCGGTATGTGCTTTCTATCACTAAAACTCTTAACACCGTTACTGAGAGTTTTCAATATTTTTATTGTATCAAGCTTTTGTATTTCAGCTTTTGAGGTGCACACTTTGATTGCTCTAGGTTGAACTGCAGGAAAAGAAAAGGTCTAAAATAACATAGAAATGAAATGCTTTTAACAAGTGACAACTCGAGATGTTATTGGGCTGGATGTTAGCAGTTTGTTACAGTGGAAGACTGGGAACTGTCTTTCCCTTTGGTATACTGACCCTATTTCTACCCCCTAAGAGCTGATAGATGTTGGATATTAAACCTGACAGACATCTAGGGCTCACTGTTGTCTGCTCTGAGGCTCAGGCAGTTGTATTCTTTGTGGGGAAATTTCACAGATACATGTGGCAGAAACGGGCCGTACCCAAAGCCCCAGGCCAAGCATTTCTGCTGCAATGACAAGAAATAAATATTGATGCACATTTAGCTGTCCTACACAACGCCAATACTTGCATCTTCATTAAATGCTGCTTCTCTCAGTGACCTTTTATTACAGCAATGGATGGGTTAACTCACTTATTTTCTCCATTTAGTCTTACTTGGTCCACATGTAAATGTCTTTAAAATAGACACTGCTTTGTACATGCTGATTTTGCATGGTCCCTGTCAGTGGACATATGTAGCAAAATGCTGTGCAAGCACTATTACTTTGAAATAGTGTGATATATGACTGTTTTCATGAATGTGTCTGAAAATGCAATGCATTTTAGCAGGTGCAGCTGCCCAAGAGGCCTGCATTTCTGAATGTCTAAACACAGCTTGCTTTTAGTTTAGGAAGTGAAATGCCCCACATCTTATTTCTAGCTGGAATACCAGGCTCTTAAGGCAGGGATACTCAACCTCCAGCCCATGGCCCAGATCCAGCCTGCAGAGCTGTGTCATCCTGCCTGTGGGGGCCCCACATGTCTAGAAATTTGGTGGTAGGCAAGTGGTGGCAGCATTAACTGCCGCTCCTCTGCTGTCAAATTTCTGCACCTGGGAGGAGTTGCTCCATGGTTGAATCTGGGTGCCGGTGGGTTGGGTTGTGTGTGCACAGCCAGATCCAGCATGTGGGGTTGGGCTGGTGGGCAGCTGGATTTGGCACTTGGGGCTGGGCAGGATTACATCCGAGGACTGGCCTTATAAACTGAATCTGTGCAGAAGCTGGGTCACAGACCAATCCCATGCCACTCCTCTGGTTTATGGGGCTGGAAGGTTGGGCACCGCTGGTCCAAAGCATATTATGCAGTTTCTATTATATTTAAGCATAAGAATGTTGTTGTTCCAGGGGAGACCTCCTGAAATCCTCTGTAGCCCATCTTAGGTATGCATGCATAGGTATAGTGTCCCATTCTGCTCTCACTCACCCTTGTGTATATCAGGACCGACTTCACTGACGTCAAAGCAGTTAGACCAATGCAAAGTCACTATGGGTGAAATGGGACTCAAGCCCATTGTGTTGAGGGTCTCTACCTATATCTTTCATAGAATCATGGAGAAGTAGGCCTGGAAGGGACCTCCAGAGTTCATCTAGTCCAAACTCCTACCTGAGGCAGGATCATTTCTCCAAAGCATCCTATATAATCCATCATCTAAACTCATTACATAGGACCTCAACCTGACACAACATAGACCTGCCACAGGTAAAGCAGAGGAACCATGGCAGTCCATGTCCCGCTTCTATGCAATGTTGTCAATATATGGTCAAGACATTGCAGGTAGAGGGCCATGCACTCTGTTACAGAGGAAAGCAAAGCCCCCCACAGTTCATACTAATCTGACCACAGGTTAAAATTCCTTCCTGACCCCAAATATAGTGACTGGTCTGAACCTGAGCAGAGGAGCAGGACCCTCTAATCAGGAACCTCCAGCTTTGGTCCCAGCAGGAGCACTGGCATACCCCAGTTCAAGTCCTCAGGGTTGGCTGTAGCCAACACCTAGTACCTCTGGAAGGGTGCAAAAGAGACTTTGCCTGTTCCTGCTTTTACTAGGCATCTGGGACAGGGCTAAACCATTTGTGAAACTGGCCACAGGTACAGTACAGAGGGAGCACCTGAGCTGCAGGTTGTTATTTCAGGAGCAGTGTCCTCCTTTGGTCATGAAGCTTCATAGATTTCATAGACATTAGGGCTGGAAGGGACCTTGTAAAATGATTGGGTCCAGCCCCCTGCCCAAAAGCAGAAGTCAGCTAGGGTCAAAGGATCCCAGCAAGATGAGTGTCCAATATTTCTTAAGTGTCCAGAGTAGGTGCTTGCACCACCTCTGTGGGGAAGTCTGTTCCAGGCCTTGGGGGCTCAGACAGAAAAGAAGTTTTTCCTTATGTCCAGCCTAAAATGGTCTTGCAGGAGTTTGTGATTGTTGGACCTTGTCCTCCCTTGGGGTGCTCTGGTGTTCCCCCAGATCCTGATGCACACCCCTGATGTACTTAAAGGCTGCCACCAAGTCAGCCCTGAGCCTGCGCTTCTCCAGGCTGAAGAGTCCCATAGCTACCAGTCAGGTGCTGCAGTGGAGCCTAAGGCTGCTTTCTGTTTCCTGCCTGCTGTGCTTTGGAGAAGGCAGCATATGCATAGCAGGCCAGGGACCTGGTTCTACAAACAGTACCTGCCCCACCTCCATCTTTCATACGTGACAACATACAGGTGTCCCTTTCACCTCTGTATGTCAAATACTGTGGGATATAGGGGAGATGAAGGTGGAGGCAGAGGTCCACTGGAGGGTTGATTAAAGTAGGCAAGTTGAGGCTGTTGGCTATACTATCACGTGCTAGACATAGAGATGGTCCTGACAGTGACAGCTGAATTGAGGAGACTGGAGCAGTTTTGGGTGGTAGCAGAGGCTGAAGTGATGAACTGATAGCACTGGACAGAGAGATATGAATTAGGAAAAGGAAACCAGAGGAGTCTGAGGAGGGAAGAAGTCCTGGAAAGAGTAACTTTATGGGGTCCCTGGAGGCCTGAAGCAATGAATTGGAAGGAGGCACTATGGAGATGGAAAGGTGAGATAGGGATAGAAAAAGGCAATGAAGGAGTGAGGAACTGGGAGGAAAAAGACTGGTGGATGGTGAGGTTGAGGTAGAGAAATTAATTGGGGGAAATGGACATGAGCTAGGGGGTGCATCCCCATGATTGGGAATGTACGTTTCCCCAGGGACAAACAGCAGCGGCACAATATCTGCCACTGCTACTTGTCCCTGGGGAATGCACACACACTCTGGTGTGCAGCATGTGGCCCTGGGTGGGGTAGGGCAGGCTGGGGCCAACACCTGGACTGGTCTCAGCAGCCTTTCCAGGGGTCCTGGGGGCCTTTGGCGGCTGCAGCAATCTGGCAGCGGGGAGTCTGGCTGGCAGCTGGTGTGTGGCTCCAGCTGCCCAGCCATGCTGCTGTCACTTGTGTCATCCCGTTTTTTTTAGGTGTGGATTTTTTTGACACCGGGATCTCTCATAGTGCAAATTAATAGCTTGGGAAATGCCTGCATGTGCATACTGCACATGTGCACTCATCTGGATGCACCCAGGGAAAGCAGCAGGTGATGGAGAGTGGATGTAGCTGGGAGACGTGGGGGATAGAGAAGTCTTATGGTCAGAGGGAAACCACTGTGCTGAGAACAGGGGAACAAGACAGGCAAATAAACAGAGGGGATGCCATGAAAAGAAGGAAAGGTGGAAACAGGAAAGGAAAAATGAGAAATATTCAGGAGAATCATGAAAGAAAGAAGGAAATGGGAGAGAGGAGAGAATAAGTGCAATAGAGAGGATGGGGAGAGAAAATGTAACATGCCCTTGGGCAAAGAGGATGGACAAGCAAACTGAGGGAGAGGCAAGGACAAGCTACTTTTCAATGAACAGAGAGAGCCAGAAGGAAAGGGGGAGAGGGAACGAAGAGAAAAAAACTATCTGATCCATCAAGCAAGAAAGGAGGACTGAACAAGTCCAAAATAGAAGGAGAGAAAGAAACGGTGAAGAGATGGAGGAGGGATCTATAAAAGACATGTTTTAACGTTAGTAAATACCTTCATTCCATGTAACTCCCTAATATGTCCTGGTTTCCTGGAAATTTGGGAGGAAGGACTCTTCCAACCTGTACCATACTAAGATTGCTATCGGATGACTTCAGATTCATTTTAACCATTTACATTCTTTTATTTCTGTCCTGTGTGTTACAATGACATTCACTGAGATCGGTCATCCACTCAAATCTTGGTACGCAACTCCCTAAATTCCTACCTCTTCTTTGCACTCCTGCCAGCCTTGCTTCCCATTGAACTTTGCAAACACCCACTAAGGACAGTGAAGGGTGAGAGCCTCTCTACTGCAATTGCTGGAAGTGTTAAAGAGCTTGTCAGGTTGTACAAGCAGCACAGAAGTCAGCCTGATTCAAACTCCAGTGAAAAATTTCCATAGACTGCAGGGGATTTTGGATCTGGCACCAGGTGCATAATAGGAAGATGAGAATTCAATGGCAAGCTGGAATTATTTCTTGCAAAATTGCTAGATTGTCAGTCTTGGATTAAGATCTGTAGTGAAGTTTTGACTAAAGGGTAACACAGGATCTGTCATTCTGGGACTGAAAAAAATAAGATTCTCTGCAACAAGTCTGGCTTGAGAAATGAATGGGAATTAGCAATAATAGTAATTCACATGGAACTGCATGGTTCAGCATGTACAAGCTGCAGCTTTCAAATGGACTGTACAGAGTGGGAAACCAAAGCAATATTGTGGCAAGTGCTGGGCTACTAAACCCTGCCATTATGTGGGGCGCTGTTGTTATGACATTTTTTAAACTCAGGCCACTGACATTTAAAGGTATAATGGGATGGGATCCCCAATCCCAATAATCACATGTCCTGCAATACCACACATGCATGGCAGGATGCATAATTTTGGGACTGGAGATCAGGTTCCAAATTCCCCTTACTTGCCAGTGCAGGGGAAACCTGGGCCCAGCAAGCTGAAAGCCTGACAACTAGCTCTTCATTGGCTGTCACCAGGGACTGCACTTGGTTCCTCGGTTGTGCTGCCCCTTGGGGTCTCAGATATTCTCTTTTCAGCTGCCCAGTGAGCCATTTTCAAGAGGCAAGCTGGAAGCCTGTGGCTTGGTGGTTAAAGTCATTTTCTGGGAAACTTCCTGAGATATTGGTTCAAAATCCCACTGGGTGAGTGGGACCTAGAACCTGGGTCTTCTGTTCTCTGGGCAAATACCATCACCACACAAGGCTGTTGGGCTAAAAGGTGGAAGCTGCCACCTCCTTTTCCACCCCTGTAAACTTGCAGAACATCTACAATCTGCATAAATAGCTCAGTGACAGCACATTAGATTATCGTTAGTTTAGAAAAAAGTATTTCACCAGACAGAGCCGTAACAACTAAGCTACTGGGAAAAAGGTGGGCAGTACTCCAGTTTTGAGCTTACTTCATTGCTTTTGAAGTTCGATGTGTTTATTTTCTGCCTGCTGGTGGAGGCCGCCTGGGGACTGAGATGAAATGTATGTAGGAGGCCTCTCAGCCACACTTTGAATCCCAATAGGGCTTAGGCAGGAGTTGGGCGTTGTCAAGTGCCTGAGCACTTCTGTGCTTCAGCTGGATTGCCTCTGAGCATGGGCCGAAGCTCTAGTATGGATACTGAGAGGACACTGCAGTTCAAAGTGGAGATGCTTGATGAGTTTTGTGATGGCATGGTTCAGGGTCCTTTCCAAAGAGCAATTTAAATTTAGGCACCTGAACTCTCAAAATGGGACTGAGGAACCACTCTGAATTTGGCTCATAGTATCAAATGTAGCAGTTGCAATTCCTTCTTTATACAGAGACTGGCACCTCAACATGGGGTTGTGCGATAGGGGCAGGAAGGAGAGCTTCCTCCCTGTACAAGCAAGGTGCTTTGCTGTGTCCCAGTGGGACCAAATCAAAGTCAGCTCAGGCATCCTTGAAGAGAAATCACTCGAGAGTTGCTAACAATGAGAACTTGTGTCCTTTAGTTATTGTTTGAATCCACCAAGTCACTTCACAAATGTCACTGTGAAGGAAACACTGGAGGAGTTATGGTGCTTCCCAGGCTAGGGTAGGTTTGAACTGGTGACAGCTGCTATTTTGTCCTTATCAAATATTTTTCCTGTTTTGGTTTCTAGGAGGATCCTGGGAACCTGGCTATCACACAACCTGTGTTGCATATTACAGCTCCCCTCTCTCCTTGGAGTTTGACCACTGAGTCCGTGGCAGTCACTGGTAGCATGTCACAACCTAAAGATGACTTGGATGCCTCCAGCAGCTTATCATCAGCTTCTAGGCAGATTGTGGAAAGAAAGTCAGTGGTGCAAGAAACTTTAGCAAACTTCTTTGATGTTTCCCATTCAGAAGATGCAGAGTCTAGAAAGGAGGATGACGACATAGGGGAGATTGCTAGAAATCCACTTCCATTGGTGACAAGGCCAGTACCTAAAGCTGCTGTTCCTGGGAAAGGAGAGCACCTTACCAGAGGGACACAGCTTGTAGCAGCCCAACTTGGCATTCTTCTGGGTTGTACAGCTGCCCTTGGCATGGCCCTTGCTGCTGGGCTGCGTTGCATCCACTCCCAATATTGTCACAAGCGGACGGAAGTGTCCTTCAGTGAACCCGACAACAATGTCATCACGGTGAGAGAGAACGGGGAGATGATGCACTTCAGGAAGATACGGGAAAACAGCTTTGTGCTGGTCCAGGCAGAGTACAATTGGATCAGCCCATCCGGCAGTGGGAAAAAATCTGTCATCTAAGTACCTACAAATTAGGAGAGTTAAAACAGTGCTGTATAGATTAGATAGGGTGGATGGTATAAATTTAATCAGAATGCCTACCATGATTGCAGGAAGCTGTAGAGTAGCTCCTAATATATAACTATCCAGGTTAATAGACTGAGAAATGAAAAAATATGCATGTTCTGATCACAATGCACATGTATCTAACTCAATTACAGATGTTATGAAAAATAGATATTCTAAGTTACAGATGCTAAGAAAATATAAGTAGATGTATTGTTTAATGTGCTACACTTAACATAATTAATATTGCATACCTGCTCATTAACTGTGCTATTGTAGCCATTATGTTTCCTTTGTTGCCTTAAGGTATGATCAGAAATAGAAATTCTTCCTCTGCACTTTGGTGTCATCTCCTATTTATTCTCTGGAAAAGTTTCTAGTGGTGTGTTGTTTTCTTTTCTTCTTCTAGGAAACAAAACTCAACCAATCTTACTTCTCAGTTCTCACTTAGAACTTTGTACAGTTTGATTTTTGGGTGTGTTATATCGCAAATCAGTAAAATATTTGACACTTGAAATCAAGTTCCTCTTCAAAAACAAAAAGAAATGACACATCAGTTCAGAAAATTGATCCACAGGAGGTAGATACTGTGGGCTTTATCGAACCGATCCAAGGGAATGAAATACGTGGCAGCAAAGGTTAGCTTGGGGGAAGAGAAACATGCCTTCCCATCAGGTGTAAATGGAAAAAAAACCTTTCCTGTCCATTTGCACCTGATGAAAAGGCTTGTTGAATCCTAACAGCTAGCATTTCCTTTCTGTCTTACTGTAAGTCAGTTCAATAAAGCTATTGGCAGGAACATATATGGAAAATTATCCTTCTCAGGTCTTTTCAGAAAACCCCACCAAAGGGCAAATGACAAAGTAGCAGCATCTTTGTGCCCTGAGCTTTACAAAAACTTCTCTGATCATGCTGACAAAATAGCACTTGGATGACATTAATGTCTTAATACTTTCAGAATAAGATGCAGGCAACAGAAAACTATTACTATTTTACTGTTCTGCCTAAAAGGCTGAGATGAACAACAGTCTGGAGGAAGCCACATTTCTGTGCATGCTTACATTTTCCTACCAACTGGTACACCCTCCCTTGCCTAACCCTCTAATGTAGAGGCACTCAGATTTCCCCCAAAGTAAGGGCCGCTTTGGTACCTTCTCAAAGAGAGATTTGATTTGCATAAAATGGAGATTTACACAGAGGTGCACATTGTAGAGCGGTCCATCTTGCAACTTGCAGTGCGCCATTTTGGCTTAAGCTGATGCATCCGGAATCCCTATGGCTTATATCACTTTACTAAAGATGAAGTGAATACACGTACTCAAGGGATACCTTTGCCCATCTCCAATCTAACTGGACAATCTTGCCTTTGAGAGTCAATGTGGGACTGATTCTGTTCTGGTTTACATGCTATCCATTCCATTTGACTTCAGAGGAGTCCTAGGGGGCATATGATAGCCCAGAAATTGGTTAAGCTTGCTGTTCCCCTGTCATTTGTACACTTGCAATTCAATGAACATAATGAATTTAGCTCTTTTGTTAATGAATTAGTAACTTACATGCTGGTATGTCTCATTAGAGGAGCTTGCTTTTGCAAGTCTATGCTCAAAGCCTGATGGTTCATAAATGGCCAAATTCTTCTGAAATTAACTTTGCAGGCATAGTAAATTAAAGACATAGGAGGGAAAAAGGAATTAACCTAAATTATGTAATAACCAAGTGTACAAACTGAGCCTGTAAACTTGACAGGCTTAATTGTTCTTTGCTATTACAAGGAACCTAGTACCACACATCCTGTCACTGCAGAATATTCGATGCTTTTGCATAATAGCCTAATTGTGAAGTTTATTAGTAAAACTCGATATAAAAGCTGTTGTTAAGTAGAAACCATAGTTAAGCAAGTGTTTTTGCATTCATTAGGTTAGTTGAGTAGGATGCTTATCTATTAAGAAGTCTATAAACTTAAAAAAGGAAAGCTACAGACTTATAATTGAGTTTTGCTTGTATGTCATATTCTTAAAATTACAACTTTATATAACCTGATGTAGTTGAGCTGTCTAGTTTCTAAAACAGACTGTATTCAATTCATTGTTAACACATCCAAAAAAATCCTAATTAACTGAAAAAATAGGTCAACAAGCTAGTAAATATTTAAACAACTATCACACTTTATTTAAAAAGTTTCTTATGATGGCTTAGCAATTTATGAATAAATTACAAATACGTATGTCCTCCCTACTATCTTTCGGTCCATGTTTAATATTACTAGATTATTATAGTTTAGGAAGCTTAAAATAAAACAACCTCACAACACTGCTTGTTACCAGGTTAAGTAGAGAAAGCAAAGGTTAGGATTATGGCCCTTTATGGAGATATTGGAGCAAATCCCATCTTTAATAATAATGGAGTTGTATGGATGTAACCAGTAGTAATATTTATATGATGGTAAAATCTCTACTCATGAACCAGAACTCCGTTGCGCTGGGTGCTGTTCAGACAGAACAAAAAAAAATTCTTCCCAAGTGTTTCTTACATAAAGTGCTTGTTGGGGGGAAAAAACAACCAAACTGTCATCAGTGTTTGGGGACAGTGAGATCTGCATTGCAGGGGCTCATCTTTTCTATACTGGTAATGAATATGATGAATTAGGCTAGGACGCAGACAATACAATTGCTTAGAATGACTTGATTAGGCTCTGTAGAAAACTGGGTTTAGTAGAGATCATCATGGTACTCTGTAACTGTGTGTTACATTATGGGGACACCTGAGGATTTGAGCATATTCCTTCAATTCATTTCAGCAGGGAAGGCACCCAGTTTCTAAGACAGGTTGGCAGAAAGAAGCCTGTGCACTGATCCAAAGTTGCCATTCTTCAGCAAAATGCTTTGCATTGAGACCTTTAATGGAAGAACAGCAAAAGAGGCAGATGTTCATTTCTACTGAGGAGTCATTGCAAGGAGCAGTTCTGGGATGCAGGTAAAGAGCATCAAATTCAGACACCTGTCTGTGGTTACAAGGACTGTTTCTTCAACTGCTACAAACACAAAAAAAATTAAGTTTTTAGAAATAAATCTTTTAACTGATCTCTGTGCATCTGTTCACTATTTCCTCACTTGGTTACTGAATTCTCTTCCTTGGGCTCTTTGCTCCTGCCAGCCCCTCCAGTCCATGCTACCTGTTGCAACTAATACCCTATCTTTGCATGATGACCTGACCACATCCCCAACATTTTTGGCTTCTGTTGATTCACGTGTTTCCAGGATGTCAAGTCAAAACCAAATACTTTCTGCTCAACTTCAAGATACATAATTCTGCCCTTCCCACCTACCTTTGTTCCCTTATGCAATGCCACCTGGGTCCATTCCTTTTGTGGCACTAAAGCTTTGCAAAGGGGCTGTAGCAGGGTGAAGCTTCTGGCCAAATGAATGCAAAGCAATCCTCCTACTCTTTGGGAATTTGTGGGACTGGTGGTAGTATCACTAGAGGGCAAGGAACTAAACGCTTCCTAAGTTTACTAATTCTAATCACAAAATGCATTAAGATGACTTTCAGAGGCAACAAACTCCTAGGAAGCAATCATGGGAGAAGTCCTGAGCCCATTTAAGTCAATGGCAGTTTTGCATTAACTTCTCTGAGGCCAGGATTTCCCCCTGCAGAGTTCAAGATGCCTTGTCACTCCAATTGACCTCAGCTCCAAACATGATTTTAGCAACTGGTACAACCGGGATCCACAAGCTTGCTCTGCTGAATGCAAGGTCAATCATCAACAGAACAGAAGCAGCACTGATTGCAAATTGATTTTGGATAAGGCCCCAGACTTTGTATTAGTCAGATCTGGTAGGAAGACTCTGCCAGCTGGGATTGATATATATGTCTGTAGGCTACTAAATGTTCCACAAAGCAAGAGAGGTCAAAGCAAGTGAAACAGCCACGTTCATCTTATCTGACCTGAGCTATAAGGAACTTGCATGCTAGAGGCTAAAACGTTCTGTGTTCACCTGTCGTAGGAGTCCAGCGTTAGAAGAAAATAGGGGCTGAGTAGCTAGGGATGAGGATCCAGTTGGTCTGGAAGCTGAGCTGAAGGATTTGGGCTGTTACTTAGTAATTTAATTTTAAACATATAAAAATACCTGCACAAAGAGTTTTAGTGCCCTAAGAAATTCTGCAGAATTTGGAGCATAAATGATAACTACCCAATAGCAAAATACAATCATCTACAAATTAATCAACTCAGCCTGCTAATAAACTGAAGCAGCAAAACAGCTACATAATCCATCCTGAAGAAAAGATCCTCAAGTTTTTCCCAAAATCTATTGGATAAATGGGCTTTGTAGCATGTGCACAAAGTCATTGAGTTCAGGCTGTTAATGGACAGGCCCGGTGCATTCTTTAACCCCTCCCTGAAATGCTCCATTGGGAAGTCCCATCTTGTACACTGACATCAGAGAAGCATCTCCAAGTCTCTCTGAAGTGTAAGGGAGATGGACACAACTTCCCTTTCTATTCCTTGCCTGTCTAGAACCTTGCCTTTACTTCATACACAGGCCCAATGCAAATCTCATTTCAAAAACACTTTCTTTTCTCATTAACTTATGTGCGACTCCCTCTGTAAAACATTTTGTTATATGGTGTACAAAGAATCCTGTCACACTGCATTTTACTGTATATTTAAGTGCATGTTTTTCTGATTTACTGCTGCTCTGGAGAACATCTCCCTGTCTTACCAGGGCAGGTCTTTAAAGGATATATCAGCTCTGACTAATGATTATTAGTACATCCCAAGGTTATGTACTACAATCAAATAATGTGTAGGAGGGAAAAAAACTCCAGCTTACCAGGCTAAGGTCAAAGAGCACAGATGGTCCCTTTGAATCTTCAGATTGCAATATCCATTACAGAGTGCACCTTCTAATGTCAAAGCATAATTTGTTGTTCAAAATCTGTGTCGCTGTTCCAAAGGCAAGTCAAAGATCAGAATCGCTGTATATCCATGTATATCGATGTACA